CTCGTGTTTAATTCTGACGCCATTGTTAGACTTTTAAACTCGCTGCCTAATGCTGCCATTTAAGGAATGTTCAGGTTTTCTCGTAATGTTTTTGTATGCTTTATTCACAAAATCTCTCTCAGAGTGTACTTTGCTTAGTGATTCAGAGAAGGTTTATACAGTCCTTGTACAGAAAGGCGGTTCGAAAAACAAGGTAGAAATTTCACTCCTCGGTACGTCTTCTAAACTCATCGAGCACATTCTTTACGCTAGCATTCTAGACCATTTAAATATGAACAATGTTTTCACCTCCTTTATTATGGGTTTCGACCTGGCCTTTCTTGTAATACTCAGATGGGGGAGTTTTATTACGACCTAGTGTGGTAGACAGCCAGGTGGCGCCCCCTGCACACCTGGTATATAAAGAGCATGTCGCACGAGATTAAAACAGATGAACACTGGGCAAGCTTGCTGCACTCGTCAATGCCCCGCTGTCCCGGGAACTCGCCGAACATTACAGTGGCGACGAGGAAGTGGAAGTGTTGAACTGCTGCCGTCGGACCGTGCGCCTGTTCTGGAATGCCGGTGGTTGGCAAACTAGAGCCGTTTGACACTGAAACGAACTGGAGCGAGTACCGGGAGCGGGTTGAACAGTACTTCATCGCCAACGATGTCAGGGATGCGAAAAGGCGAGCTGTTTTACTTACGTGTTTTGGACCCGCCACATATTCGTTGCTTCGAAATCTTCTGGCTCCTGTCAAACCGTCAGAGGCCAGCCTAGAAACCATTTTCGAGGTATTAGGCGAGCATTTCTCACCGAAGCCTTCGGAAGTCGTCGCAAGCTTTAAGTTCAATTCACGGATGCGTCATGACGGTGAGACAGCGGCAGACTTCTTTGCTTGTCTGAACAAGCTGGCGGATCATTGCGGATTCGGCGCGTTCCGAAATAGAATGCTGCGAAACCGCATCGTCGGAGGTATTAATGACGAGATGATACAAAGGCGACTCCTAGAGATTCCAGATTTGACCCTTGACCTCGCAAAAAAGACGGTCGTTGCAATGGAAGCAGCGAAGAAAGATTCGCAGATGCTATCGACGTCTATCCAGCCAAACCTCGCGTCAGCTAACACAGTGTCACGCGATGCAGCTGTGAACCCGAAGCGGAAGACTGGCACCATCTCGTGTTTTCGTTGCGGAGGCGAGCATTACGCCACACAGTGCCGTCATGCAAGTACCACTTGTCACAAGTGTCGGGGAAAGGGGCATCTGGCACGAGTGTGCAAGGGGAAGACAGCGGATGCGACCGCCGGCGGCCCGACGACGTCCACTAGAATACCGAGATCGGTCCACACCTTGGACGAAGCGGGCCAGTCGCAAGATGTCTCACTGCCAGAAGTCTACGAGATGTGGGAAATGACATCTTCTGCAGTCGACGGCCAACCTTTCCGAGTGGAAGTTACGGTGAACGGGACTCCATTGCTGATGGAACTTGACACGGGAGCTAGCGTGTCTGTTGTGTCTGAGGAGACATTTCGACGCGAATTTCCATCAAGGCAGCTGGACCCGTCGCGCATCATGCTGAAAAGCTATTCAGGTGAACTTTCCCCAGTTCAGGGAAGCCTTACTGCAACGGTGAGACTTGGAAACCGCGAATGTCAGGACATCCTGTATGTTGTCCCTGGCACCTGCCCATCTCTGCTAAGACGTGGCTGGATGAAAGGCCTTGGCATCAAGCTTTCCAACGCGAAGGATGTCAACTTCGTGACTTCTGTTGCGAACCTCGTTGCTGAATACTCCAGTATCTTTGATGAAGGTCTAGGAACTTTCAAGGGGGTGGCCGCAAAGATAAATCTTCAGGACAACGCCAAACCAAGGTTTTTCAAGCCTCGTTCAGTTCCATTTGCGATGCTTGACAAAGTCAATGAGGAGTTGCAACGCATGGAACGGGAGGGAGTCCTACGTCCAGTGAAGACTTCGGAATGGGCTGCCCCTTTTGTACCGGTCCTGAAACAAAATGGGCAGGTTCGCATCTGTGGAGACTTCAAAGTCACTGTGAATCCTGTGACTGTACCTGAAAAGTACCCCATCCCGCGAGTGGAGGACCTGTTTGCTAAGCTGAGCGGAGGCGAGAAATTCAGCAAGTTGGACTTAAAAGATGCATACCTACAAGTTAAACTTGATGAGAAGTCGTCACAACTGGTTACCATCAACACTCCACGAGGTCTGTACCAGTACACTCGACTGCCGTTCGGTGTGACCTCTGCACCATCGATCTTTCAACGAGAGATGGAGAACCTATTGCAAGGACTTAAGAACGTCGTTGTATATTTCGACGACATTCTCGTGACAGGGCGAAACGATCAAGACCACCTGGAAAACCTGAGCCAAGTGCTGAGTCGGCTGCAGCAAGCTGGGCTGAAGCTGAAGCTGTGCAAGTGCGATTTCTTGGTTCCCCAGGTGAAATACTTGGGTCATGTCGTGAGCTCTGCGGGATTCCAACCAAACCCAGAAAAGACTGACGCAGTACTGAAAGCTCCAAGGCCTACCGATCTAAAAACGCTGCAGAGCTACCTGGGACTGGTCAATTTCTATCGTCGGTTCCTGCCTAACTTGTCCAGCGTTCTACATCCGTTAAACCATCTTTTGGGGGCAAAGACGCCTTGGACTTGGGGTGCGGACCAGGAACAAGCTTTTCGTCAGAGCAAGAGTTACTGCTGTCTGCCGCGGTATTGGCGCATTATGACCCGAAGAAAGCAGTGGTGCTTATCTGCGATGCGTCGCCGTACGGAATTGGGGCTGTCCTTGCTCACCGAGAAGATTCAGGTGCTGAGAAACCAATTGCGTTTGCATCTACAGGTCTTCTGCCGGCTGAGCGCAACTACAGTCAGCTTGACAAGGAAGCCCTGGCTCTGATATTTGGTGTGACTAAGTTCCGGCAATACCTGTGGGGTCGTGACTTCGAAGCGGTCACAGACCACAAGCCCTTGCTGGGGCTGCTTGCTGCGGACAAGCCTGTACCTGAGACCTGTTCGCCACGTGTGCTGCGTTGGGCACTGATGCTGTCGGCTTACAGCTACAAACTGAAGTACAGACCTGGTTCACACATAGCAAATGCGGATGCCCTGAGTAGGCTGCTACTGCCAGTTCCTCCATGTTCCATCGAGCGGCCAGCCGAGGTATTTATGCTCGAGGGGGCCTATCCTCGCGTACTACTTGCGTCTGTCGTGGCCGACGCCACTTCAAAAGACTTGATTTTGGCGAAGCTTCGAGATCATTTGTGGTCTGGAGCTGAGCTGCATGACCCAGACTTAAAACCGTACGCTCCTCGAACACCTCAGCTGTGCGTACAAGAGAACTGTATCCTGTTGGGGTCAAGAGTCGTCATCCCAGGATCCTTACAACCAGAGGTTCTACGACTCTTGCATGAAGGTCATCCAGGGATCGCCAAAATGAAGGCCGTGGCTAGGAGTCATGTATGGTGGACATCATTAGATGAAGACATTGCGGCTACAGTGCGGGGATGTCGTGTGTGTCAAGAAAACCAGCGACTCGCACGACCAGCACCAATGATGCCATGGCCATTCCCAGAAAAGCCATGGTCTTGTCTTCATATCGACTTTGCTGGACCAATGAAGAACCGATATCTACTCATCGTGGTGGACGCCTACTCAAAATGGATTGAGGTCGTTCCTGTGTCCACGCCGTCGGCAGAAGCCACAATCCCTTGCCTGCGGGTGATGTTTGCCTGTCACGGACTACCAGACCTCGTCGTATCCGATAACGGGCCGGCATTTGTAAGCGGTAGCTTTAAGAACTTCCTTCAACAAAATGGAATAAGGCAGGTTCTAACACCACCGTATCACCCAGCGTCAAATGGAGCCGCTGAGCGAGCGGTTCAAACCATAAAGTTGAAGCTGAAGAAGGCAGCTGATGGAAGTTTCCAGTGTCAGCTGGCCCGAATCCTGCTCAACTACAGAACTACACCTCATGAAACCACAGGGTGCACTCCGGCGGAGTTACTGATGGGCCGCAAGTTGAAGACTGCTTTGGCTCTACTTCACCCGGACCTGAGGTCAAGCGTATCGAAAAAACAACTCATCCAGAAGATGGCGCACGACAGGGGTGCTCGACTGATACCAACTGTCCAACCGGGTGATGCCGTTTATGCGAGAAATTTTCGACAAGGTCCTCTATGGGTACCGGCAACTGTGACCGACACTCCAAGTGACCACATCACAGATGTCGCACTCCCAGATGGTCGGTGTTGGAGACGTCATGAAGGATATCTGCGTCCTGCCCTATCCCAAGCTAGGGCATCATCGGGTCCGCGACCAGAGCCGGTGGATCAGGCCGCTCCTCCTAATGAGAGTATGCCTGTACCACTAGAGCATTCTGCCCAAGCGGTACCTCAAACCGTAACAGCTGAATACCAGCATGACGATACTCAGCCTGTTCCTGGCATTCCGCTACCAAGGAGTCCTGGTACTCCACTACCGAGGAGAAGTGATCGAGCACGAAAGCCTCCTGTGCGCTTTTCACCGTGAAAATCGGTGGGACCTTGGCTCATTTTTGTTAGGGGGGGGGGGGAGGAATGTGGTAGACAGCCAGGTGGCGCCCCCTGCACACCTGGTATATAAAGAGCATGTCGCACGAGATTAAAACAGATGAACACTGGGCAAGCTTGCGTGCACTCGTCAATGCCCCGCTGTCCTGGGAACTCGCCGAACATTACACCTAGCAAACACATATGACGAGGGGCTTCATACAGATTGGCTTTTCCTTGATCTCTGAAAAGCCTTTGACCTCATTCCGCAAAATTTTGTTCTTTATGAACTCAAGGCCCTCAGCCGAGGAGTTATTACAGCCGCGAAGGTCGAGGTTACAACCCACCCGACTCGGCTCGGCACTACATGAGAGTCGTGAAAAGAAACTTCTCGCTTCTCAAGCGCGCGGTCGTGCCGTTCATGTACGGCGCCAGGTTATAGTCGAACTCCGGAGGTCGTCACAACTCAGACAGCATTATGGTCGACCAGGCAACGCTAGACAAGCTGGATGCGGGCTTCAAAAAGCTCCAGGATGCTAAGGACTGCAAGTCGCTGCTCAGGAAGTACCTCACCAAAGATGTAGATGCCTTCGAAAATCTCAAGACTCGCAAGACCGCCATGGAAGCCAGCTTGCTCGACATCATACAGTCCGGCGTAGAAAAAGTCGACAGCGGCGTCGACCTGTGCACCACGGATGCCGAATCGTACACGCTGTTCGCCGACCTGTTCAACCCGGTGATCGAAAACTACCACGGCGGCTTCAAGGCTACCGACAAGCACCGGCCCACGTACTTCAGAAACCTCAACACCCCAGTCAACGTGGACCCTGACGACCAGTTTGTCATCTCCACCCGCGTGCGCTAGGGACGCTCGTTGCAGGGCTACCCTTTCAACCCGTGCCTGAAGGAGGCCCACTGCCGCGAGATGGAGGAGAAAGTGAGCTCGACTATGCGCACACTGGAGGACGAGCTAAAGGGCACCTACTACTCGCTGACCGGCATGGACAAGAAGACGCAGCAGCGGCTCATCGACGACCACTTCCTCTTCAAAGAGGGCGACCGCTTCCTGCAGGCGACCATCGCTTCCATCGAAACCAAGCGCTCCATTCCCCCGAGGGGGAGGAATGTGTGGGGAACGGGAAAAAAGACGAGAATAAAGAGGACCGACAACCGGGTGGCGAGCGGGCGCGCAGGGCAGTCGGAGCTTGCACACCGCGAGGATTAATGTTCGTTTTCTTGTCTCCACAAGTCCTGCAACTTCAATAATCAGCGAGCCATCCCAGAACCTTCGCAAATACTGTGAAGGCCTTGAGTTCATAAAAAACGAAATTGTGCGAAATGATGTCAAAGGCTTTTCGAAGATCAAGGAAAAGCCAATCTGTGTGAAGCCCGTTCTCATATGTGTTTGCTAGGTCGCGATATAACTCCCCCATCTGAGTAGTGCAAGAGAGGCCAGGTCGAAACCGATGATGAAAGGGGGTGAAACAATTGTTCATATGTAAATGGCCTACATTGCTAGCGTAAAGAATGCGCTCGATGAGTTTGGAAGACGTACCGAGTAGTGAAATTGGCCGGCAGTTTTCTACCTTGTTTTTTGAACCGTCTTTCTGTACGGGACTATATAAACCTTCTCTGAATCACTAAGCAAAGTATAATCTGAGAGAGTTTGTGAATGAACCATACAAAACCATTGCGAGCACACCGGGACATTCCTTGTGCGGCCGGATTTTTATCTGGATTAAGTGAGTTCATACGTTTAACAATGCCGTCAGAATTGAACACGAGTTCGGCGGCGTGACTTCGCTCGGACGTTCTGGGTCGTGGCGGGATGAACGGAAGACCGTGCGATGGTGGTGGAACTCCGAACGGTATCTGACGTACGGTCCAAAGGCCCTGTGAAAAAACGCGAATTGGAGAGCTTGGGGTGGCGCGACGACCGGTGGGTCGGCCGTTGGAAGCCGACTCTTGGTTTCGGCGCTCCGAGCTTCAAATAAAAAGCGCTGATTCTCAACGCCTCCACTGGAACGGGAGACGTTCACTGTGGTTCTGGTACTAACGTCCACTCGGATGCGTGATCCACTCATGGCTGCGGCGTTGGCAGAGATGCGCTTGGCTACTCGAGAGGAACTCTGCCGGCCGCTCCTCCCTCTGCGGCTCTATAGCGACCGTGCCTACCCGGTGGGATCCGCGCTCCCGGCGCCCTCGCAATCCTATGGTCTGAGCACGCCCGCTGTCCTATACCGCGTTCGGCACCGTTGACTTGCGCTCATTCAGGGTGCGTCCCTGGAATGGTGCTGCGATGTCGGCCGGCGCCACTCCTTGTGGGACTTGTGGCTGTCGGTCCCAGAGCAGGTGGGAAGCGAACCCCACGAGGCTGTGATGCTCCATGATGCACCACGTCGCAGCCTCATAGGTTCGGGGGTGTCACCATGGGTGTTGAGGAGGCGGCCGATGGCCACGACTGCGGCTGCCGGGGGAGCGCGACCGGTGGTAAGAGGACCGCTGCGGGGGTTGGTGGCGTGGCCGCGACCACGGTCGGTCTGGTGGCATGGCTGCAGGTAGTGGAGATCAAGAAGAGGCAGAATTATACAAGGTGGAGACGTTATTGCTTAACTCTCAACACTCTTCGCCGCTTCACCGCGGTTATAACTCTCAGCAATCTTCGCCACGTTCAATAAGAGGTTTCAAGTCATTGATGTTAACAGGTCCTACGAGTGCACCGGTTGGGGGGCACCATATTCAATATGCGAGGCGTGTAATGGCCCGTCCCATCGTTTGGCGAGTGAAGCTGAAAATCCTTGGCTGGCGTTACTGAGTGGGTGAGTGCGTCAGAGAACCAGATCATTGACGGAAAATTCGACGTTTCCCCGGCCTTTATTCTATTGGGTTCGTTGTTGTGATTGGACTAGTTAAATGTTCCCCCAGGCCATTGTCACTATATTTCGGATATCCTCGCAGAGTCTTTGCGCAAACCTTGAGTGCGATTGACGTGGGTGAGCATCTGGGGCAAGCTCTATATTGTTTTACATGGGTGCTCATAGTTCCCGACCAAACTTCAATCGTGCTGGTGTGAATCCCGTTGTTCGGTTTTCTGTGGTATGGGTAGCAATGGCCATCTCTGGGATATAAGAGTCCCAGTCGCGGTGTTCATTAGTGTACAAAATTAACATTTCCCGGAGGTTGCGATTTACTCTTTTGGTGATAGTGGCCTGGGGGTGCTAAGGGAAAGTGCTGGATACCGAGAATTTCACATCAATGTTTGAATACAGTGTTGGTGTATAAGGTAGCCTGTCTGACTATGCTGGTAAAAGCGGTGGATAAAGTGCGTCGTGACGTCGCCGGTGGGAGTAGCCTAAACTCCATCGTCAACAAACTATATCGGAAGAGAACTGCACCGTGACGTGTCCGGTGACGTCGCCGAACTGTGGCCAACGTTACTGGACCAAGCTCAGTTTCGCAGCTCCTCCTGCGACGTGGGCTCAGGGACTGTCACGAAAACTAGCAGTGCTGCAGTCGAGTCTTACTTCCGGATTGTCTAGCCCGCCAAGCTTGAATAGCAATACTTGAGCCTGGGCGAGTTGGCGGTTCATACTAACACTTCATAGCGCAAGGAAACAGACGCACAAAAAAATAAGTTTCAAACACTCAAAGAAAACTCTTACACTGCGCTGACTCTGAACTCTGTGGTGTATTACACTTCACCTTCATCATCTTCTTTTTTTTGCTATTATACACATGGAAGTAAAAAATAACAATAGAGGAAACAAAACTGAAAAAGAAAAGGAACAAGAAAATAAAGGAAAAAAAGTAAAGGAGAATGAAAAATAAAAACAAGGAAAAACATTATGACGCGCGAGACAGGGAAGTAAGATCCGACAGCAGCACCGCTAGTTCTCGTTACCGTCAGCTGGGCCACTCGTCTCCTCACGCGAGAATAGGGAGCTGGGAAACTGAGCTTGCTCCAGTAACGTTGACTGTGGAGATTGAGTTGAAACTCCATCGTTTTTTCTGTTTTTTTTTTCTCCCTATAGCGAATTTCGGAGAATCACAAAACTCGGCAGTGAAGGGTTCTAGAAAGCAATACTATTAAGTATCCGAAACGTATAGCGCAGGACAATTTAATTCAACTATTTTTGTTGAAATTTGTCGCATGAAATATTCAGTTTACTTAAGTCACACAAAAACTATTAGCATTAGCTGCAGGCCTTTTACGTTGCGCAGGCAGGCAGTCAGGGCCGACAACACGATGAAGCGAAAGTAAAGTCCTCTCGTGTCGGTCCACCAGATTAGCCTTCCGAACGACTTTTTCACAGAAAACCAAGTTTTCGTAAGGGCCGCCACTGGCAGTCCTCTGACCAAGCCTGAGCGGGACGAGCTGTGGGACAGAATTGTGGACGAGCTGAACGCCCAAGGCCCGTCCATCAAAACGCGAGCAGAATGGAAGGGGCACCGGAGTACTCGAGTATGCCACGCCCTCGGCCGTGTATCACTACTACGTGGTGCGCGTTAAAAATCCCAGGCTAGCAGTCGTACCGCTCTGGCTAAATTGCTTATCTACAGTGGGTAACAATGCCGCCATGTTCAGGCAGACTAACCTCCTGCTGTATAAACAACAAACGAAAAATTTGACTTTTTGACTTCGCTTGACTGCGTTAGTGCAACTTCTCTCGTGCTGCATGAGAAAGAAAAAAAATTATCCTTCGGGGGTTAACTTTTTGGTGAAGTAGGAAGCAAAAAGAATAAAATAGAATATTTCCCTCAAGTGAAGTCCGTAGTTGAAAAGAGGAAAAAGAAAATCAGGTGTTAGTCCCACGGTGAGGATGGTCTTTTGTTTATGTGTATGATTATTCTAGTTCATCTGGCCATACCTAAAGTAGTTGCTTTAAAATAAAGTATCTCTCCCTCCCTTTATCTGAAGTATGAATCAACTAGCTCACTTAAGCCTGTTACCGTCGCTTGGCCTTTCGCTCAGGCAAATAGCTTATATGGGGTGCACTCAAATGAAAATACACTCGTGTTGAATCGTGTAAGAGTATTCGGAATATTTATCGATCACAACGTTGAACTTGCATCGCTCTAAGAACTTCCTTTTTGTGAGCGCCTTCTCTGCTTGAGTTTGCTCGAAACACAGCCACTTCGATCCGAGGCAATCGATGATAGCGTTTCTGACGTCAACAAGTATGCGACTCACAGAGCACTGGTGAACACCAATGTTTTCGTCGCTCCTGACGGTTCCCTGGAAGCCGCCAGCGGCGTAGAAGCGTAGAGCTGCGAGGACTTCTTGTTCGACCGTCAGCACACGGGGCCCTTCACGACGCCGCTGGAGCTTTCCGCGAAGCTGGTCGCACTAACGTCCCTGGATATTTTTTCGTTTTTACAGGTAGCGACAACTTTCCTCCTTTCCATCTGCGATTCCTCTTTCCCCAAAAAATTTTCCCCTCTCCCTCTCTAGCGCCGCCATTCGCTTCCTAACGTCAGACGGGAGGGCGGTTCCGCTGTGTCGTTATGTGGTTAGCAGTAGCGTAGCCTTCCTTGTTTTGGTAATTTCCAGCGCGTGAAATTAATTTGGATATCATCGGGTTACTTGCGTGAATCGAAGGTAAGCTGTTATTTCCGCAAGAGCACATATATATATCAATATTTTGCCACAATCCCTATCATACCGCAGCGAGGGCTTTCGCAAGCAATGGTCTCGGCGATGCTAGATATGTGCGCGCCTGCGTTACAATAAACTATTTATATTTGTAATAAAGACAAATACCTTGTGAAAATTTCATTCCGTCGTCGATAGAGCCGCATGGTTAAGCTATTCTGAGAACTCTATTTTGTTTGCAACCATCCTCCCTCGTGGCGAGCGTTGGTAAT